TCTACTGAGAGTCGAGCAGTTTCTGTAGAGCAGTTCAACTCCATGCATAAACAAGATCGCAATAAGTTGTCTGGTGACACAACTGGATGAAAAGCAATCATTCCTCACTGCTGAAGTTCGAGACAGCAGATTCACCACCACAATTCGATACCCAGCAGGTTGCAAGTCTGTGCTGTACCATTAGTTGGATGCAATAAGTAGAGAACGAGTCTCCAGCACAAGCAGCAAGTCTATTTTTTAAATATAAAGGTGGAGTTGCTACACATCATTATTGCTCATTTTGCAGGGTTCATTTCAAAAGCAACAATACGTTCTGGAAGGATGGGATTGGCCGAAGGGCCTTCTTCATCCAAACCAATCTTGTGACCGCATATCCTGTGCCAAGGACCAAAGTGTTTTTTTTTTAAAATTCCAGAAACAGGTTACTGAACACTACACAATTAGAAATACTTCGCACAATTTGGTGCCATTCAGTTCTGATTAAACCAGCAAAAAAATTCCAAGTTATAAAATTCTGTTGTCCCTGAATGAACAAAGAATTTCTTTCAGCCTGTTTTATACTGTTCAGCATTCGAAAGCCAGAGAAAAATCAGTTTTGTAGCTGTTGGACAGCACAAAGCACATTATTCAGGTCGTTTATAGTACAGCTTTATACGATATTACAAAAGATAATGGAACGTTCCAAGGCCTGGCTGGAGGAAGAATGTCAGCACCATTACTTAGTGGGGATGCTGCAAAGAACGTGCCCATTTCTGCTTCAAGTATGAGATAAAGAAACCAAACCATTTGGACCGTATCCAAGGAATATCAAGGCAACAATAACAGGAGTCAGTGAGGACTGAAGCAAAGCATGAGCGCATTAAAAGACGGGCAGACTAGAGCAGGCAGTAGTGCAATGTATTCCAGCTCACGGTAGCCTGATTCAGCAATGCACTTGACATCTACGTAGCTCTGCACAAGCCTACACCAGCGTTTGCGCGCATATGACAATCTCCATCTGCCAGAGAAGCAGAGAAATGGAGAGGGCAACCGCATACCAGGCTTATTTTGTAACAGAGAGACAGGGGAAAGTCTAACACACTTGAGTCACAGCACCTCCTCCCTCCCATTGCCATTCCCATCGGATGGGAAGGGGAACAATTAGCAGTGGCTCCAAGGTGATTGACACTTTGAAGCCGCCGCTAATTGGTCCCCTTCCCGTCCACCGGATGAAGTCAATGCCCTCTTGCTCTCGCTAGTTGTTGCTGATTGACGGCCCAGCGACGCGTGCGGATGAATGGGCTCTCCATCCATTCACAAGCGGCTCCAGGCTGTCAATCGATCGTGATTTGACTCCTCCCGTCTCCAGTCAATACAAATAATACAAATGAATCGGGGTCGGGCGTTTTGTCCGATTTTCCCAGCGTCCAAGGTAAACAGGCTTAAGTGGCTTCCACTGTAAATGATTAGAGGCCAAAATAGAAGGAATGTCTTCACTCAGAGTGCTGAAAAGGTGGAAGAAATTAATACCCAATGTGGGCAGCGGTTGGATCAATAGAATTACACAAAAGGGGACTGGAAAAGCACCCGAGAAGCAAACATCTTAATGGAAAAAGGACTGCAAAATGGGATTAATAAAAAGACTGAAAATAAGATGAAGCAGCAGTCGTACAGACACTGAAACCAATTTTGATATTGAAATGTTTACTGTGATTTATGTTCAAAACAATCATTAGATTAATTTTAAAACAGCTATTGTCATATCCCTTAAATGGTTACAAAACATGGCTCATGATCCTGATCAACAACAACAAAATTACATTTGTCTAACACCTTTCATGTCGGGAAGACGTTCCATGGTACTGGATGATAATAATAATAATAATAATCCTTGCATTTGATATAGCGGTTTTCGAGAACATCTCAAAGTGCTTCACAGAATATACTGTAAAGTGAATTGACTGTATATTTTGTGGATAAAACACAGCAGCCAATTGCGCACAGCAGGGTCCCGCAAACAGTCATGGATTGAGTGACCACATTATTTATTTATTATTTATTTCTTTATTTTCTTGAGGGATTATTATCAGGGGTGTGGAAACTCGCCCAAAGTTTTGCCCTACCGGGAAACGAACCCAGGTCTCTCGCTTGCAAGGCGAGTGCTCTAACCCCTGAGCTACAGGACAATCAGTGTTTTGGACTCGGGCTGGGGATTGGGAAGGGTGGAGGGCAGGTGGGTGACCGAAGGCATGGTCGAAGAGGAGGGTCCTGAGATGGGTCTTGAAGGATGAAAAGGCAGGGAGTGAGACAGAGGGACTAGGATATAGTATCTTGGCTGAAGGTAGTTAATTGCCTTTAGGAATTCAACAGCACATCCATATATACCGGCCATGGTAATATTAGATGGGGATAAATGAACTTAAGCTGACAGCAATGCAGAAATGCAGCAGCTTTATTTATAGACTGGCAGTGCTAACGCTCAGGCATTTCATTCTTTTATAAGAAGTCAGTTGGACTTAAAAGGCTGTAATATTGTTACGTTCAACTTCTAGCTGGTGGCTGTGTGCCAGTAAAAAAAAACAGTACTCTGGGGATCAGACCACCTTGCTGCAAACAATACAATCACTTTCCAATGCTTTAAAACCTAACATGATGAACAATCTTTTGTACCGTGGATTCCATTGCTCTGCTCATGAAACACTCTCTCCGGGCTGCATTGTCTCTAATGTTACTTGCACATCGACTTCAACTAAGCAATGCCTGACTAACTGCTTAGAATGAGTTTGTTTCTATTTATATCCCTGATACAAAGGCACTCGAGGGTTCTTTAGTCAAGCTTCGCCCATTGGTAGTTATCTTATTCAAGAGGAGCCCAGTGTTTTTCCATTCTTGCTCCTCTCCTCTACACAGAAAGTTGACCGAAAGCGAGGTCAAAGCGGAAGATCTTGAGGGGCCTTCAGCCAATTTTTAGGAACCTACAAAGAAAAATGTTTTCTAAAAATACAATGTTAGAAGTAAAAAGGATTGTGTGCTGTGATCACTAAGTAAGATCACTGAGTAAGGCAAGTTTCCTTACTCCACACACCTCAGTTTCCCCAGCAGCAAGTAGGAACCTGGTGATTAGTTGATAGGCAGATCGCTTTCTGGGGTTAATGATTCCTCCAACAAAACAAAACAAAAAATTTGGTCACTCAATCCATCACTGTTTGTGGAACATTGCTGTGCACAATTGACAGCCACGTTTTCGCCCACAAAATACACAATCAATCCATTTTACACCATATTCTGAGAAGCGCTTTGAGACGTCTCAATGACATGGCAAGGTGCTAGATCAAACACAAGGATTATTATTATCATCATGGGAAGCTAATTATAATGGAGCCTTTTTTTAATAAAAGACTTCATCAATCCCATCATCGCGACACTTACTACCTCCCTCCCTTGTAAGAACAAACTAAAAATGAGAGAAGTGATTTTATTTTTCATCAAGTCATTTGGGTATTCCATTTCTCCAGGACATCTTTTGAGGGCCAGCACAAAGTGAATATCTTTACTCAAAGAGATGAAGGTCAGCTACCGGCTTAGGGTGGAAAATTGCTGCCTGAGGTCAAGAAATGGAACTGTGCTGTTCCCTGTGCTTCACAACAAATCACTGCTCCCGCATTTGATCGCTATGACCTACTCCGGGGGAGGGGGGAAATGGGAGAGGTGGAAAGACAACAATGACATAATTCATTGATTCTACACTGACTGACCAGATCAGTCACTAGCAAAAACACTTGGGGCGGGGAGTAAACTTATGGTATTTCTTAATAAGAATCCTACTGGAACTCCTGACAACCTGCAGGACCTGAGAAGTAGGATGCATCAGGGTGGGGGTCGACACTAACCTACTTCTGGGTACAGCAGAGAATCTCCATTAGTGCAACTCAGATTTCTTTATTAAGGAGGTTGGTCAGTTAGTGATTGTTCAACAGGAACTTTATTTAGTTAGGTCGCCTGAGGGAAACCACATGTGGGAAGCCGGATGAGTCAACAGCGTGGAAGGCCAATGGCCAATCATGTCCAACACACTCAATCTAGAACATTGAAAGCAGGAGAGAAAGTTTAGTGGGGGAAATCCTTGGTTGCCAGCTGCAGTGGTGGAATGCACAGCCTTGATCTCTTTCAGAAAACAGCTAAGTGGGGTTCAGTGACTCGTGGATTATCTGAGGAAGCAATATTAAACACCCAATTCCCTGTGGAAGGAAGTCTTCCTTAGCAGAGATTCGATTATCAGGAGCAGCCTCTAATACACAGGCTTTCATCCTCCACGACTCAGTCTGAATTGCAGAATTTAGCAAACTATATACCCTATTAGAATAGGAAAAAGGGAGCCTTTTCAGAGGGCCTTATTGAACACCCAGTGCCTTCAAGCCAGGCTACAATTTTCAGGCAGTCCCAAGAACTATAAAGGAGTCAAACTTGTGAAACATTCTGTCTAGCCTCTATCTTTATTACATGTTTAGTGAGTGGAGAGGACAAAGGGTTGAATAATCTGTTTGCTCACTTGGGAGCTTAGGGTAGTCCATTCCAACTCCAGAGTTCTGTGTCATTTTTTTCTATTATGTTGATTTTGAAATAATTATATTATTATTTCTCACTTAACATTGAAGTGAAGTGATGCAATAATGTGGGTTTTATGGTTGGTCAGCCAATGATGGTTTAACATGGGGCATCTTTGTGGTTGGACTTCCATAGTACTTATACTGCAACCAAAACCACGGTGTGACATTCACTGGGTGACATTCACTGGGTGTCTGATAGTATTAAACGTTTAACTCCCATTTCACTCATAAGTCCAAATTATTAGAAAAAACACTACACATGAACCGCTCTCCTTTCCCAATTTTTTTTAGAAATACTATTTTTCTAATCGCTTTTTGTATCACTCAGGCCATGATAAGTGAGTACATGACTGCATCAAAAAGATTCCAAGTTATTATGGTTTAAGACATCCGCTGATTGCCGATTGCTCCTACCTTGCACAGGCAAGGGCCACCAGTGCAGCCGCGGCATTCTCTTTCTGTTTCTGTGGGATGGGATGGTCCGAGGCGGGTGGTTCCTCCAACCAAGAGCAGAGGAGGGCCTCCAGGCCGTTCAGACAGTCACCAGGTTCTTTTGTGAGGCTCAGAGGCTGGCAGTCCCTGAGGCAGTTCAGAAGCACCTCAGCCGTGATGTTACATAGAGACGGGTCTGTTTTACTCTGCGACTGGATCAGAGGGAACACCAGTAAGAGCCCCATGCGAGAGGTGAAGGGAGCCTGCTCAGGCTGTTGTAACAGGCCCTGTCGTTTGAGCAAAGACATGGCTTCCTCGTCGCTGGAGTTCTCGCGCTCATGCTGCTCCTCGAGGGCTAGCTGTCTCTGTGCGTTCCACAGGCCTCGGAGTGCGTTCAGACGGTATTCTAGTAGTCGTGCGTAGGCGTTGCTCTGGTTCCCGCACACAGCACGCAGGCGTTCTGACAGTTCCTCTGGGTTTTTGGTTTCGAATGTCAATATCTGAAAGTCAAAGATTTTCTTTAATACAATGGTGCGACAACTGATCACATGCAGGTTTTCTCCCCCGATTCAGAAGAGTTAAAAAGAGTTAGAAAGAAATGCACTTTCAATAGCATATATTCACACTGAAAATAGACTACAAATGAAGAAAATTATTGATTAATATATCTGACGCATTGTTGGCCAGGACGCCGGAAGCAACTTCTTTCACTTTTCGAATGGTATCCTATATTCAATAGCAACTTTAATATGATCCACCTGAAGAAGATAGATATTCATATTGGGGTAAATACTGGTTTAATGTCTCATCTGAACGGCAATACATAATTTGCTCACTTCTGTGCTGGAGTGCCAGTGTACACTGAGGTTAAGTGCTGAAACACCCTTGCTCACACTCAAAGGTAAGAGTGCAAACAATTAGGGGGGGTTGGGGAAAGCATGGGCTGTATGTTGTGTAATCAAACAATATATTTTGCTTCTCACCTTACATATGATATAGGGAAAGCAAGAGAATGGAGTGAGCCAGTACAATAATGCCCACCAGCAATATCCCACGCACAGGAAGGGTTTACCGTCAAATAACCTGAAAATTTGATGTGGCACATTTAATTGTTCACACTGCTATGCCCAATTGGCTGCTTTGTATACCAAAACTCAAAATAGGTTTCAGACAGTCAAACTAGTCAGGATGAAAAATGGAACAAGCAGTCTGTGCTAATCTTTCCTTATTGCTTCAAGCCCAGTCAACAGCGCGAGAAGCCCCTTTCAAAGCTGATGGAGTGCCCTGCATGTGTAACATATATGGGGAACATGTGGGCTAAAAGCAGTAGCAGATGGACTGAGATAGGATCATAAACCAAAAGAGGTGCAAATGGCTAATCATCTTAATCCAGAGATGGGTGGTGACCAGATAACAAATACAAGCTGCGAGATTCACCTGTCAGTTACATGAATCTCGATATCACTATTCATCAAATCACAAAGCACTCTACCATCCACTAATACCAAAGGGAAATTCAACATCCACATATTAAAAGGCATGCGCCTGGAGTCTGTTGCAAGGCATAACACGGTCGGTTCAGATTTTTAAAAACAATGCTCTCACTCCTCAATTTCTAGCACTGCCTTATAAAAACGCCAAACAAAAATCAAAGTGTTTTCTTTGCAAAACAGCAGCGAGCTCAATTACGCACTGTTATATCTAGGAACAGGAGTAGGCCATTCAGTCCCTCAAGCCTGTTCCGCCATTCGATAATAGAATATCATATATTCTAGATGATACATATATAATCCTTGCATTTGATTTCTAAACAGTGTGGAATAGGGGCGGGGAGTATCTCTAATCCAGTATTTACCCCAATATGAATAAGCAGACAGTAAGCGCGAGGTTGCGTGGCATTCTGCAGCACATTGCCAAGAGTGTATCCAACTTCTGGACCCACGGGATGCCAGGTTTGATGGAGAGGTTTTTCCCCAAAAAATACTGCACAAGAGACTCTTAAAGCTAAGACTGTGAGATTTGATATTGCAGCTTATCACATCTTCGATAAGCGCTTCACAGAATATACTGTAAAGTAAATTGACTGTACATTTTGTCTTCGGAGGGGAAAATTACACAGATTTAATTTGTTTTTAGTAATTTTGTCAGAGATAATTACTATTTATTGAAAGAGATTTATAGCTGCACTCCCATTCAAATGACAAGGTCCAAGACAAATTGACTAAAGCAAAATAGGGATTTATTTTATTACACATCACAGGGGAATAAGAAAAGTAGTTTTTTGTTATAAAAGGGTTCCATCATCCCAACAATGTAATAGGACACGTAATCTGATCAAAATCTACATGACACAATGGGCACAATCCCAACCACTTTAAAGGAACAGGGATCCATACATATTCTTCAGTTGGTCAAGTCAAAGATTTTGCAATAAAATCAAGGACAACTGTACAAATTAATACAAACAACCACTGCTCTTCTTTACATAGGATAATCATGCTTACATTTTACAGAGTCTATCCCTCTCAATTTATTAATTATTAATTACACTGCCAATGGAGAATATATATCAGTCTGGCTCAGTGGTAGCACTCACACCTCTGAGTCAGAACGCTGTGGGTTGAAAGCCCACGTCGAGACTTGTAATCACATAGTCTAAGATGACACTCCAATGCAGTCCTGGGGATATGTTGCATTGTCGGAGATGCCATCGTTCAGATGAGAAGTCAAACTGAGATCTCATCTGCCCATTCGGGTGGAAGTTAAAGATCCAAAGGCACCATTTGAAAAGAGCAAGGAGTTTCTCCCTGTGTTCTGCTGAACAATCCCCCCCAATTGGTCACTCACTGTGGTGTTTCGCCCACAAAATACAGTCAATCCACTTTATAGTAGATCCTATGAAGCACTTGATGACGTGATAAGGTGCTATATCAAATGCAAAACCTATTCCTGTCTATCTGTCTATCTATTTATTATGATTATTATAAACTTTCTGAACAAGGCGCAGATCAGATGCAATACTCTGGCATAACAAAGCCACTTTTTAGGCCCATGTCTCGAAAATATCTTCGGCAATATTTTTATGTCTGACACATTTAATCTTAATTAATTTTTGAAACGAGTCACGGATGGACAGATAAGATTCATAATGCTTTAAAAAAAATCAGGAAGTCACAACATTTTGACTTGGGCGTATTGAATGTTAATGCTGTTCTGTTGTGCCAATTTGGGTCTTCACACCCATCAGCAGACTATTCAAAGAGCCAGCATTTGCCCTTGCTCGCAAACTGCTAACAAGGCAGTAACTGATCACAAATCCAAGAGATATAGTTCTCATCCTAATATATTATTTATTATCCAATAAAGAAAAGTTTGCATTGTAAATGCACTACCAATGCTAATAAAGGAAACAAATCTTGATAAAAATACATTGGGTTGCTTCGGAAAGGACTCCTTTGGGACTTTGTGCAGTCATGAGTACATACTATTCGATTTGGAGACTAATTATCATCTGGACTGCCCTGCCACAGGCTCTCTGGCCTTTTAACCTTAATGTACCACAAAGCTCTCCATACACATTATCCCCATCCATGCAAAGCTCCACTGCTTCCAGTACTTTAAAGAACTGATTTCCAGATCTTTGCCCTGGTCTTGAAATCTTTCCAAGCCTTGCCTCCTGGAATGTAATTTTCTCCAGTCCTATGTTCTAGTTCATACCATCTGTTTATTCTTGCTTCCAATTTAAAACCAAATATAGTCAGTTCCAATAAGACAGTGCAGTTCACAGAAGATTTTTTTCCCCAAAAAATCTCGTTTCTCTGAATGTTTAGTACTCGCATCATTGGGAGCAGCCTGGAAGGTAATCCAACACAATATAAAGCTAAATGAATTGCCTCAGATAACACACGGTGCTACAGCCTTCTCAGCATTTCAAATACAGATTAAATTCAGTTCCTTATAGTCAAGGGACATGATCTCCACTTCCCTGCTTCCTTGACAAGATCAGTGCTCACTATCGACTGATGAGACACAAAAATGGGGAAACCATGAAGATTCTAGGCTTAATGCAGCCAAATTGAAGTAATGTATTTTGGCCATAAAAAATTGTGGCTGGAAAGACAAGTGAAATGGGGAATTTCTGGGAGATGGGGGAGATGAACAAAGAGACTTGGATGCTCTGCTGAACAAATCATGAAAATCTAGTACATAGCTGTAGAGAGAAACTGGTAAGGAAAATGAAATGCTGGGGGTCATTGCTAGATTCATTTAATTTATGATATGGAAAGTAGTACTGAGGTTGTACACAGCACTAGAAAAAACACATTTAAGAGAACTGCATGTAATTTTAGGCACCTTATTATAGGAAGAGCGCAGTATATATATATAATGTAGGTTCAAGAGAACACTCTTGATTGGTGATAGGAAGAAACTAAACTAAGGAGGGACTGCACAGGTTAGGGATTTAGTTTTCGAAAATCACAGCCCAGCTTTCTTTACGTCTCTTTCACTCACAACGCAGATCTCCTCTAGCTCATCTGTCTCTGCTTTCTGCTCTTCAAATTAAGTCTCTGTACTAGACATCTTCACACAATACAGTAGACATAAAGTGATACTGTTCCTCCCTAAGACCAGTCACCCATTGAATTTGCAGTGTGGGAACAGAAAATTGACGCATCTGGGAAATTCATTGTTTATAGTAAACAAGAGTACCGCTTTTACCTCTTGCTATGAACCAAACTGCTGACATCTCCCTGTCAACAAAGAATAGTGAACAGTCTGACACTGTTCAAGAAAACTAATGCATGAAAAAAATAAAATCATCACTCTTGAACTAACACAAGAAGATGCCTGAATACTTAGTGAAACAAATGCTTCAAATGGGTTAAACAGAATAATGGTCTTGACAGAGTTGAATGGGAGTAAGCAGCAGCGCAGCAAACAGCTGCACGGAAAGATAGTGGAAATACACAGTGATAACACCAGCAACACGATGGAGCCAGCTCGGCTTAACCACAAATCTCATGTTGACAGGTGAATTAAAATTTAGCCTCAAGTATGACTGAAGAACCACATTACAGCATAATAGGAGAAAACGGGTCATGAATGCAGAACGTCAACTGGAAGCTAATGGAACCTTGCCTTTAAAATGTCTAACATTTCAAACAAAACCCACTTTTTTAAAAAAAAAATTAGATCCCACTTGTTCTACACAAACTAAATTCTTCTTCCAGATGAGAAGTTAACCAAGGTCCCCTGTTTATGTGGTCTTCAGATGGACGTGAAAGATAATCACAAAAAAAAAGGGAGTTTATCCCACTACATCAGCTAACAGTCCTCCAGGGCAAAAATAGTCATTCATCACTACAACTGGCCTCAATGCATCTAGGAGAGGGAAGAGAGAAATTATCCAGTTACTCTCTGACATATGTGCAGTACACCTGTTGGTGTGACCTCGCTGAGCGGAAAACGCTTATCACATTTGCTTACAAAGACAGAAACG